TGCCAATGATAGATACATTTTGAAAATGCCATCTGGGTCTTATAGTGCTATGATATTATTTAATTAGAACCAGATAAAATTAGGTAAGAAATGAATGCCAGAAATTATATTACTAGCTAATAAATATAATTTCACCATATTCTGTAGTTATCCCAAAGTGTTAATTATAACAGGAGCAGTTAAATTCTTTGGCTATGAAAGCATAGCAGTTTTTAATAGATGTATCACCTGGTAACCTTGGGCATTATTAAATATATGGGGACTGAAAAACATGGTAGAAGCAATGGGAAAGTCTGGCCAGACTGTGTAATTTGTTTTAGAACTACGGAGAAATCTATTAACCATTTCTTCGATAGACCAATTTGATTGGGAAGTAGGACAAGCTGTTCTTTCATTACTTACCAAAACCGAACTGCACTTTGTATCAATTATTTGGCTGTCTGCAGCACATAGATTAGAATAAAGGGCATTCTTGGTGTTTGTGAATATTGCGGATCCCTGATTAGTAATTAAAGTCCTGAATGAAGGAAACTAGGCTAAAATTGAATGGGAATGAGAAAGTCTTAATTCTGTGATGCAGATGTTAGAAACAGATTGTCTTGAGCAGCCCAGTCAGTGCAGTGACATTGTACATGGCCAGGGAGTATTCACTTCCCAGGTAAAACTCAAGTCAAATGCCTCCGAGATGCTTTCCTTTCCCATGCCTTGTGATGTGGCTGTATGGGTATTAATTTAGTGAAATATCCTGTCTGCCAGGTGTGGGAACTAGCTGATTTTATTGTAATACCAGATCATTACTTAATTCATATGCAACAGAGAACAGCACATGGAAAGCATTATAAATCTATTTACAATGTGGCTGGTGTGATGATAACATTGTATTAAATTCCCAGGTGAGGCAATTTAAGCAATTGCTTTGCCATGTGCACGCCATGGAAATTAAATTCTCATATACGCTTTAGTAATAAACCAACTTCATTGTTATGTTTTTGCTTGTGGTGGGCTTTAGAATCCTCATTCTGGTTATATATACCCAGTTTCACATACAGAATCATACAAGAGACAGGACCACAGGTCACAAGTTTTAATTAGTTTAAGCTAAGTTAATTCATTTTGTCTCTAATTTAGCAGTGCCTGTCCATGAACACATTCAGCTCAATTGGGAAATGTTAAGGCTTGGGTCAAGTAGATAGATTATTTCAAGCCAAATTTCCAGACAGACCTTAAAAGTGCATCTATTTGAACTTGACTTTAAGAAAATCAGCCAATCGGTATGCAAAAATCCTATTCATATATGAGGTGAAAAACTGACAGTCTCTTTGAATCTGAAATTCTTGTTTTTATAACCACAGACTCGATTTTGTCATGGGTTTAAAATAGTCATTGAAACTATGCATCTAACTTCTTAGAGTTAGATCACAATCAATGGTTAATTTTTCATGGTTTTGTCCACATATGATCTGTAGATTTTCTAACCAACTGTATCTAGTCCACCATGTAAGTCAGAAAGAATAAGCTTTACATAAGCATACAAGTAAAATCTAAATGTTCTAGTATTTAATACTCTTTGTGTGTGCACACCTGTGTGTGTTTGTGTGTGTGTGTGTGTGTGTGTGTGTGTGAGAGAGAGAGAGAGAAAGAGAGAGAGAGAGAGAGAGAGAGAGAGAGAGATTTGGCAGTTGAAGCTTTTTCACCCTTATGGTATAGACCAGAAACTGAAGTAGATTACAAACTGCATAGAGCTTCTGTCTTTTCCAGAGCCACATATAAAGCACCAGTAGACAGTGGGAACTGACAACTAAGACTAAAAATGTTGACAATTTCTTGATTTGCCTGGTTAGCTTATGTATAGAAGTCATTAACTATTTATAAAATGCATTATGAATTGGGTTCCTTCAAACTGTAGCTGAATGTGTGACATTTCCAGCTCAAATTCTCATGCTTGCATTTGGCTAAAGTACAGATTTTATACTGTTGATAATGAAGTAAAAATATTTTAGTTATGTTTATCAAGATACAACAGAGATTTCAGTTTCATTAACTTTGAATCCTCTAAATTAAAATATTTAGATACTCAGAAGTGTAGCATGAGGGGTTTTTTTAATTCCATAAAAGGTAGCAGAACTTATTGATGTTTTGAAGGAAAATTATTCCTAAAATAAGCAGTCTGTCATTCAGAGGAATTTTGCCCTTTTTTTTCAATTAGTTTAGTTATGGTCTTGCAGGCTAAATTATGTCTGATTACATACAATCAATCTGTTTACTGAAAATTTTAAACCATTAGAAAATATAAGAAAATAACCAATGTTGGGCATTCAAATATAATTATTAATAAAACAAAGTCATGATTTGTTTTATTTTTTATAAGACAAAACTCAAGTGAAAAGAGTTCTATTTTAGCATTACTGTGCCATTTCCAAGGGGTAGAACTATTTTTGATATTTGAAATGAGTTGTCTTTTCTTTAAGAAAAGTCAATCCTGTCCGAGAATACTTTGTTAAACTCAGCTATCATTTGCTTAATTGCATCTAGAAAAGCCATCCAAATGACCAGTTTTTACCATCCCAGTGGTAAAGAATGACATTGATAGGGACCACCCCTCAACTGCAGATAATCCTTAGGTCTCCTCTTGCTAAGCATGCATGCTCTTAATTGCTGGTTTTCAAAAGCAGTACATTCTGCAGTACAATCTAACCAAAACAAGATTAGATATTTAAGGGATACACACTTGTAATTTTCTTCCTCTTTTTTAGTATATTAAATCAAAAAAAGATATAATGTAATTGAACAATCTATGCCAATTTGTTGGTATTTTGTTGAAAAAAGGAAAAAACAAAAACAATCTCCATATGATATTCTTGCATACTGCGGAATGTTTTAGTCCCCCATAGTGATGAAATGAATAATTAAAAAGGCAGCTCTGATACCACAGCCTGTTTAAAGGTTCTCATTCCCTTTAATGCCATAAAATACTTTTGCTTAGCTAGTTTGAAACTACTATACTGGAGATCTCCAAATGGGCAAAAGAAAGCTTTAGCTTGGTCTAAATGTTGTATTAAAGCCATGAAGTAGATTGTCCTTGTAACTTAGCATTTTAAAATGCAATTCTGCATAAAGTCAATAGAAATAACTAATTAATAGTAATTTCAGTAAATACAATAAGAGACACAACCTTAATATATGCTGCTTGTGGTGATAAAAATGTCAGGTTTGTTCATAGATGAATGAGTTGGGGCACTCCTAATTTTCAGGAGATCTGATATAGTTGTTTTTATTGATCTCAGGCTAATGACAACTTCTCTAATTTGTCCTCCCCACAATATTGTGGTAGTTTTGTTTACCTCCTTACATATTTATTGTGAGTGCAAAGGTGTATGTTTGTGATAGTCTTGGAGCAGAGACTCGGGGCAGGAAGGAGATGCCACCATCTCCTTTATACTGAAACGTTTTGCAATTCTTGTGCTGTTTTTTCCCCTGTGTCTTTCCATAGGGTGATAGAATAGGGAGCAATTTTTTTTTTAAACAGGCCTCCTAAATTCTAGTCTCAGTTTGATCATGACCGTACTATTAGAACTCCATGAAACTTTTTTTTCCCTAAAAAGGGGGTTGTAGGTTTTTTATTTTATTTATACTCCACTGAGCCTTTTTTAATTGTGCTCTACTAGAACTGTAAGCCCCCAGTCTTAAATAGTATGTAATGAACTAAATTCTCTCTTATGTGCCATTCTTGGAAAAAATGAGAAAAAATCCTTTGGTTGTTCTTGTCTAAGGTCCTTTTAAATTCCAGTATGATATGATTTCATGTCTATGGTGTTATGATCTCTATGTGGCCAAGCAGTGTTACTTATTCACTAGTCTAAAAATGTAATGGAAATCTTATTGTTGACTTCTGCTCATGGATTATGGATAGTCAACTACAATGCTTTTTCCAATCACAATTGAACAGGTAGGAAATTTATGTCTCAAAGTGTAGATTCAAATGAGAAAGAGATGACTCTGTTTTCTAACTGATCATTTTTGTTTAGTTCAGAAGCAGAAAAGCTTACAAAGTAACTTGTAAATCTGAATTTGGGACTGAAATAGTGAAGATGCTGTAGGAACTGAGGACCATATATAGTTTCACAACTAATTTTCAGAGTCATTTACMTTTTCCAAATTGTATATACGTTTAGATAATTCATTAATTGTTTGCAGACATGCCCCTCCAACTTTACAAGTGCAGGTAGATTTCTTGTAAAACAAAGTTTCAGTGCGTGAAACATTGACTCAGCCCACTTGTCTTTATTACTGGGATTGTGAAAGGTTGACTCATAGCTTACTAGCCTTTATTTACTGGGATTGAAAATTTTAATTTGCTTTACCAGACAGACATAGGCTGTGTACACACACACATACTCCTTTTCATTAGGCCATAATTTATAGAGAAGTTGGAGATATTTAAATTATTATTTGGATAGRGGATAAGTTTTAAAATCCTTCTCTTTCTGGTTAGTAGCATCACAATAAAGAAAGAAATATAGATGTGTGAGGCCAGGGATTCCAGAGTAAAATTTGAGATATAATGATTATCCTAGAATTAGAATTTTAAAAGCTCTAAATTATACAGTCTATTTCCTGCTACAATATACAGTTTTTTAAAATTACAATCTAAGGTTTATAAATATTCAGCTATTTAGCTCCATTTCTTTCAGTTTAGTAGTCTTATTTGAATGTTGATGTACAGAATGATATACAAGTTCTAACCCATTTATGAATATTAATAGAATATGTGCACAATGCAGTTTTCTTTCATTATTGACATTTTTAAAAACTTCTTATTTACATTAAATTACTCAAGTTCAAGAACTTTAGGCAACTTTGGTTTGCAGATTTTCGCCAATAGATAGGTTTCCATTAGGGGGCTCTCGAGGTTTGAGATGATCAGCCTTGATACCATAACGCTTCCAAGCCTTTACTTTCTAAYGTTCCTCTCCTCTTTCCCTTTTTGTTTTGTTTTATAGAAAAGGTCACGGATCGCCTACAGTGACGAAGTACGGAATGAGCTCCTAGGGGATGATGGGAATTCCTCAGAGAACCAGGTAGAATGCTAATCAGGAAGGCCCGGTGGGTGGCTGGAGGGTGAAGGAGGTCACAGGCACACTGGGCTCTCAAGCTGCTCCTTAACAGTATTAGCAGCAACTCATGTGGAAGCGATACTGTTTAATGCAAAGCTGGAGTCTTAATCAACTTCAAAATGTTTCTTGGAGATCTTACATTTAACCCTTTACCTTGTGATCACTGTCTGCTATCTTTTAAAAAAATCTTTTCTTCTCTTTTCTTTATTATTTAGTACTTAAGGAATAACTTGAAACACACTGTTTGCAGACAAAGCCAAGGTCTTCACCTCAAACACATGTAAAAGGAATAAAAAAGTACATAATACAGCTTTGATAATAATGCAGTATAATTAAATCAACACTTGCAGCAAAACAAATGAAAGTAAGCTTTCAAAATTCAACAGCGCAGCTCAGTCTCCTATTGTGTAGCTTCTTAAAAATACATTCACCAAAATGCAAATTTTAAGTACCAGTGCCAACTTGGATACCCAGATAATGGTAATATTATCTTGCTTCTGTCAAATAATAGTAATAATAATAATAATAGGATAAGTCTTTTTTTGCAGTTTAAGATCTGTGTAGACAAAAAGTRAGATAGTTTCTTCTTAAAAGGGCCTTACAACTTGGGCTGTCAGTTCTCATTGGATCACATTTTAGTGTCATGAGTCTAATTAATGTCCTACTTCTTTCTTTGAGTTAATACTACAGACTTCATAATTTTACATTGATAATATATGACTTTTTAAAAATGTTTCAAAACTTGAGTATAGAGATGATTTAAAGAATGTAAAGATGATTTAGAGACTGGATGATGACAGGAAACTCCACAAGCAAGACTTGAATGTGTTTATTAATGTTATTTTGGAAAGTATGATAAAGATCTCTACTCTGCCTGAATAAAACTGAACATAAATCATTCACTGGAGAAACTGAAATTTTAATAAGATAGTTAAACAACATATCAATACACATTATAAAAAGTACATAACTGTATTTACCATTTAAAATAGATTATATTTGCTGATACAATATCACCATATATGCTGATACTATATTCCTAGCTACTGTAATGTTAATATTGTAAACAGGGATGTTGCTTTGTGAGGAAAACCCCACCCCCACCTCTGTGCACGCATGCACGTGCACACACACACACACAAAAAAAAAAAAAAAAAACAGAAAAACAGGAGAGGAATCACTGAGCTGATGATGTTTGTTTTGGTGAAGTTCTCAACTCCTCCACTATTTGGATGTATCAGCTTGAGTTCAGACATGTAAACACATTCAGATTTGACTTGGGATTTCAGCTTCCCTGATTGAAATGTGAGAATAGCTAAAGGAAAAAATAGCACATCAAACATAAAAGGGTGATGTGATGAAGGGGTTTTACTCATAATAGATTAAATAATGTGAGGATGAGAGAAAAATATTTTCTTCTTTTTTTAAAAGTGAGATTTAGATTGCTCATACTTCATGAATGAATGAATGGTAACTTTCCTCCTACCTACTGCAAAAAAGCATTATCTTTTTTGCAAAAAAAAGTGAASGCATAGTTCCCATGTCAGTTCTTTAAAAAGCTATAGATCTTTCCCTCATTTGAAACTACTGCCTAAAGTAGAGGAAATAGAAAGGAAGGGGGTGTTCCTGTCTAGCTCAGACTCCTTCATTGTAATGAATGTTGTAGTTCTGTGACAGGAATCCCTTTTTTTAAGCATGTTCACTTCTCCTAATGGACATTTTATGTGCCTAAAATATTTGCCTTGCATACATATGATTTTTATGCCTAAAGAAAAATATTCCACAAAAATACATTTGAGTTAATGTTTTTCTGGATTTTGCAAATTAAATTTCTGTCACCTTAAAGTGATTATGCAGAGATTTCCCCTGGACTTGTATAAATCAAACTTACAAATTCTGAAAGTGCTTGGAGAACCTGGAGTTTAGTTGTAAGGAGCTGTCACTTTAATAAATAGAGTATGATAAGTTATAATCATGAGGATATATAACTGATAGATTATTATTTATGTGAACTTTCAAGTTTAAGATTTGAATGAGGCTTGAAAGTTCAAAGAGACCACGCTTTGGGGAGGCAACTGTAGGAAAATTTCCATATGATAAAGTCATTCAATTTTGTTTTGTGGCTCTTTGTTATAATATAGGAATTAAAATCTCTGAAAGTAAAGCACATCATTTACTAGGTATGGTCGCTTGAAAATAACTTTATTCTTTCCTTTATTCTTCATCTTAAGCATTATCATTCTGTCTTTTAAAAATATCCTATTTGCCAGTTTTTATTTAGGCTGAATAATCACAATAGAGGCTTTTTTCCTGAAGAAAAAATATTTTAAATTGGTTCTTTATATTAATTTTGTAGCTCAGAAACGAAGATAGCTTTTTTTCTAGGAGAGATTACCAATAATTTATGTAAAAAAATAGTTTCTGTTTAGAAATAAGTTTACTTTTAATTGTTGATAAATTGATTTTCAGAACTTTTTGTTCAAGTATTTATGATAAACTTTCAATATACAGTAAAATTTAGAGAAAAACAAAATGGAACAAAAGTATCAAAAAAAGGGTTTGTTTATTGAAATTGTTATATCTGTCATTTAAAAATATATACATCAGAAAATATAATAAGAAGTAATAGCAATGATTGCAAATAGGTTAAAGAAATACTGACTAGTTATTTTCAATGCATCATACACATACTGCCTACATAGTGAGTTCTTTGTAAAGATTTGGACTAATATGAATGCAGAAGCTATCATTTCTGGTTCTGGCTATTTGTAATGCAGGGTTTTAGGCACCTAGACCCTGACTGTTTAAGCATATAATTATAACCTTCCAATTAACTATAAATTATGTTAATTTACTCTTAAGTATATAGTAAACATTTCTGCCATTATTGAAAATGCCAACATTTCAGAAATTTTCAAATGTATCTTTAAAGTCCCTCAGACAATGCACACTTTCACTTATTTCCAGATTAATTGCTCGTATCAGTTCATTTCTGATCTACACTTATTTCATTCAATCAAATATAGCTCTTTTGGTTTATAAGAAAGGAACAGAATTGAAGTGTTTTTGGGTTCTCAGCTTTCCAAGGGCTTCTGTCATAAGCATTATCATTCTGTCTTTTTAAAATATCCTATTTGCCATCTAATATAACAACATTTGTTTTCCCTGAGAGTTGAGTTCTTGAATGTAGTGATGCTACATTTAGAGAGACACCTTAAATACTTCTTAACTTGATTTCCTTTCATAAGAACCTGTCCCAACAAAAGGACAAAAAACAATTTATAGAATGAAACCATAAAGCCTTTCATAGTGGAGTGTGATAATGGGGCAAATAAAATGTCTAAGTTCTAGTTTTTAACTTAGTAGTCTCACAGTTACCGTATGCAAAATTATATTGATTGATAATTCTGAGTAAATCCGAAGCAGAAGATTCAAAAATATATAAAGAGTAGGACAGCTCTAAACATGAGGAAATTTTTGTGGTAAAGCAATATTTAGCAGATAATGATTGCTTAATTTTTTAATACAAGGTTCTCTTAAGTTCCGATTTGGGCTTGCTGTGCATAAAGTGTGTCAAACTTCAGCTACAGACCAGGGGGTGAAGTCGGTCAATTTAATTCCCAAGATCTAAAGAAGGTCGGTATCATTTCATATAGCCCTGGCAGAGCAGATCATTACCAGGCACAAATCTGTTCGTTACGTGCTGAGGGTTTATAGCAAAATAAATAGACTGTCATCATAAGTTCAGAAAATTGTGTGTTCGACCCACGATAATGTGTAAAGGGCGTTTAATAGAGTTCAGCATTTATTCGTTATCTGTATGCGGACAGAGACGGCAGTCGTGTTATCAGCTTTAAAAAAAAATTCGGTAGTTCTGGGGGTCACGTGACGCACCTCACACACAGAGGCGCGCGCATGAACCCTCGCATGCTCTGCAGTGCAGGTTTGATTTGAGTCACAGCAGAAGGCTTAACCACAAGAGATTCCACTGGTTCAAACCAGCGTAAACCAGATTTTTTCAGCCCACAAAGGAACAGATTACCTCTTGTATCAAATTCTGCATTGGAGGGGAAAAAAAATCTTTGTTTCAAAAAGATGTTGATTATCATAACTCAACATTGCGGTATTACACACTTTCATGTCGCCTATGATGGAGCTAGTAGCYCGATAAAATACGAAATCAGTACTTACACTCTAGTCTGTGCGTTCGTTGTTAATTTTCAAAAATAGACCATCTTTTGTTTACTTGAATGCATAACTCTCGGCCTAACTGAAAAAAAARRWTTWAAAAAAAAAAACTTCCCATTACCTAGCTTAGCTACAAATCCGGTGTGGAGCTTGAATGCAGCCATGCAGCACAAACAAGATAGAACGTTTTTTGTTTGGAACCTATTGAAAAAACAAATGGGTAGCATTTTTAAACACTCATTGATTATGGCAGGGTGGCATGCCCCAAATGGTCTCTATTGCTGAGGAGTAGTTTTAAACTTTGGCCCTTTAAGTATCATAGTCAACTGAAGAATGGTGTCCCCAGAAAGAAAAGAGGGCTGTGCGATCAATTCCCAGATCGTCCCTTTCTGAGAATTAATGTTTGCCTTTTTCTCCCATGATGTTCAAGTAGCAAAGAAAAAGATTCCAATATGTGATAGGCCAGGTGTCTTAGTTTAAAATTTCCCTTCTTCTGTGGAAGAATTTTAACTTTCCATGTGAGATGATGAGATGCTTTACTGGTACACAGTGGATAGCTGCTGAGAGAATGAGTGTATTTAAAAATAATGACAACTTCTTGTCTATTTTGAAAGTATGATAGTAAATTTTCATTTTTATTGAATACACAGTAAGATATTACATAGTAAATCGTTTACCCTCTTTATAAAGTGTTATAACAATTTTGAAATTTCATTCTTTAGTACTTGAAATACTTTTTCTATAACAAATAAAATAACAGAATAAGCTGGAATGTATGTTGCCTGCCTGGATTTCTAGACAAAAACAGCATTAAGCATTGAGAATTCCAGGCTATAGTAAACATGATACTTTTGGACTAAGAGACTTATAGTGAGCAATTCATAGCACGTTTCTCCCAAAGCAATAGTTTAATTTATTGGCCTGCATATGTCAAGTGTTATAACAGATGTTACAGATATTTAGATGTTTAAAAATTATCAGTTATAGACCTGAATTGCTGAGGATGCAAATTTCAGACCTAGAATGTGGTTTATAATCTGTAACAACATAGGTATCAGTTTCTGTTCATTTCAGAAACTGTGGTTGTCATCTCAACTATACAGTGATATTGTGGTTTAGAGTAGCAACACACACACACAGAATGAGGCAGTCATGTAATTATAATTTTTTCAAGCTTTTAAAAAGTTAAGTAAAATTTTATCTGTTATGTTTAAAGTGATAGAAAAATGTTCTATATAGGAGAATTAAAATGTTGTCACAGGAGAATTTTCTAACAAGTGAAGGGTGGTTTTTTTTTTTTTATTATACTTTAGTGAAACAGAGTACATTACAAATGAAGCCACACTTACAAATGAAGTAAGAGAGTTCATTACTTTAAGGCAGCCCAGTTTACAAGATGAAAAGAATTGGAAAAAAAAAAAGAAAGAAAGAATTAAAATGAAAACATGCCATTTGATTGCAGTAGTCTCTTAAGCAAAGTGAAATTCTAAAAATTGACTGATACATACAATAGTTCTAGGATAGTGGAATATTGTCTGATATATGTCCTAAATAAGTATTATCTATACTGGCATACTTTATTCTGAATTAAAATAATTTTACCTCTAAATACAATCCTATTACTAGAGTGGGTTCACATATGATATTCACATCATAGTTTGTTGTTTTAGGTCCTTACTAGAACCAAAGTATGAACTATTAATCATTTTCATTTGTTGGTAAATCTGAAATCAGTTGTCAAGATTCCAAATACAGAAACATCCTGAAAACTTGTATATACAAAACCTCTTCAGTGGTACATTCTTAGAAGAGAGGAACAGTAAACTTGTTTTCTTTCTTTATAATATAGACTTCTATGAAGTCGTTCCCCTTTATTTCATGATGGTGTCTTAGATGTGCTTTAAAAGAGAATTTCACACTATTCTCTTTGTTTAATGTGACAGTGTGAGAAAGTGATCTTTATTCGTTCAAAAAACTCTGCATGTAGTCTATGTTTAGGTTCTTTTAATGTGTTTGTCTGTGATTTTTAAATGCTAAACATGTAAACAGATAAATTGTCAATGTTAATTCTGTACCCTGTCACACAACTGATCTTTCTTTCCTGCCATTTCTTTCCTTTTTATCTTTTTTTTGTGCATTCATGTTGCAGTTGATAAAATTACGTGAAGAGGTAAGTACTTTCTAGCTTCCCTTTTTTTTTCTTAAATTCTACTTTTCCTTATAAAATTGATTTTCTAAATCTGAAGTAGATCTTTGTATTCATTTTTCTTGGGCAATCTATACATAGCAACACCATTGATTTTGTTGTCCAAAAATCTTCTCTTCTAACTATCTTCTAAAAATCTACTATATCCTAATTATGCTTATTACAAAAATCATTGTTCATTGTTGACATTGGGGAAAAGTTAATATTTTAAAGGCCAAAAAAAGGAAGAATAATAAAGGAATATATTTGCACCAAGTATAATTTTATTTTAGGTTCCAACTTCAAGTTTGCTTTATTTATTAACTTCTCAGAGAAGTTAATATGATTTATTTTTTTTCCTGATATTCTAATTTACTTTACTGAAACTTTGTTCTTACATAATCTCTTTCCCTCACCCCAGATTTTTAGGTTCAAAATAAGACACCATGAATCTATTATCCTTTTGRGGAAACACACATGTTATAGATGCCCTACTTGTCCGTATACATAGATACCTAAGACTAGTCAGAGCTCACGTCATTGTTAAACACTTTCCTTTTTATAGGAAATAGTACCCAAATGAGTTCTCATTTTTCTGTAAGTTGGTTTCATAATGCAGCCCCAAATTGTTTTGTGGACTAGCAGATATTTGCAGCAATGTTAATAATTTTATCCTTATATCAATGAGGAATGCTGAATGATTCTGTTTATTTCTTGGTGTTTTTGTTTTTCAGTTATGCCAAACATATCAAATATGCTCTGGTATTCTTTTTCAAAGGTAGTTATATTTTTTATTTAATTAGATTGAATTTTGTTATTTTTGTATCAAGACATAAAATAATGGACCATTTTGCCATTTAGAAATTGCCTAATTCCTTATAATAATCAGTGTACTTTGAATTATTTTCAAGTTTAGATTGACTGTATTGATTGAGGTTTTCCCAGAAATTCTTTWTATTTGTAGATATCATTCTCTGGGTGATGCAAACATTAACTTGGAATTTTGTAGATAC